GTCTGAGTGTGCATGTAGCTGACTGTACCGTACGCGTTTCTACAGCAGTGTGGCATTGCCCTTTCATGCAGAGCTCATAATTAAAACTGTATTAGTTTAATGCTCAGCTGTAAAACATAACTGTACCCCTAAGTGTATAGTCACATTAATTAATTCATGACGTGTTAAACAAGCTGGTTGTTTCATAAAAATACTAGCACCTTTGGTCATAAAATATCTGTTCACTTTGTTTTTCATTATTCAGAAGAATATTAATGTGTAACAAAATCAGTGCAAAGTATCTAGTTAAGAAGTTAGCAATATTATAAGCAACATAATTTCTCTACAGCGTAGGACCAGTGTTTCCCAACTCGGTCCTTGGGGACCCACAGACGGGGACCCACAGACGGGGACCCACAGACAGTCCACATTTTTGTTCCCTCCCAGCTCCCACATGAAGGTGGACTGTCTGCTGGTCCCCAAGGACTGGATTGGGAAACACTGGAGTTGACCACATTCTAAGGACAGTTTAAGGACCTTAAGTCTTTGGACTGTAGGAGGAAACCCACACAAATGAAGGAAATATGCAAACACACACATGCACACATACACACATATATCTTTGTGGGGACTCTCCTTTCATTTCTATGGGGAAAACCCTAATCCCAACATGATGACCTTAACCCCTACCCAGCTCTAACCTTAACCATAAGTAACCAAGCAAAATACGAGACTTTTGGCATTTTTACTTTTTTGATTGCATTCACCGATCTTTGTGGGGGCCTGAAAAATGGTCCCCACAGCATAAAAACAGGTTTTTATTACATTGTGGGGGACATTTGGTCCCCGCAAAGTAATAATAACCTATTCAACACACACACACAAACACATGCACATACACACACACACACACAGCCAGACATGGGAATAGAACCTACAGCTCTTGCGTGGGCATAGTGTTACTCACAGAGTGTCCTCCCACATAGTAGTTTGCATAACAGTTTTATCCATCCACAGTCAGGCACCACTTACACAGTCAGGCACCAGTTACACAGTCAGGCACCACTTACACAGTCAGGCACCAGTTACACAGTCAGGCACCACTTACACAGTCAGGCACCAGTTACACAGTCAGGCACCAGTTACACAGTCAGGCACCACTTACACAGTCAGGCACCACTTACACAGTCAGAGGAGCAGCAATCTCAAGCCTATCTCAGGAAGTGTAGGGCTACACCACGGCTGGAACACGCCTCCATCACTGCATGCATGTCCCAAAGGGAAGTGCAGAGGTCAGATCACCAGGGGGACATACATGCAGATTCTCGAAGCGACCGAGTCTGATCTCAAAGTTTAGGGTTCTTGTGTGGGGGGCTGCGGGCGCCTGAGTACCCGCCCCTTTTCCCTGAACGAGTGAAAGTGCCCCCCATTGATCATCCCAAGTGCCCTTTTTCAATAACCGACGACAACGCAAATTTACCACCCCCCCACGATCGCAAATGTACTGAGGGGGATCCCACCCCCCTATTCAAGCACCTCCCCTCCAAAGCTCTGCATGTCACTGCTGTTAGCATGACGGCTAGCATTCGCTTATGTATCTGCCAGTGATTGTAGCTTCAAGAGTTCTGATTAATTTACTAACAAACTCCATGCCCCGATCTTGTATGTGTGAGGCACAGATTTAGATAAATCATATGATGCTGCTTCCATTAAGAGACATTAAATATCCATTCATTTCATTGAACCATTGTGAGAAGCCTCTGTATTCAGCAGATAACAGAAATAACACAACACAGTCATGTGGGAAGCAAGATTTATTAGCCGCTTTTAAGGCCCCAGGCTCAGTTTGCTTGTTTTTGTTCACTTTCTTTTGTTTGTTTCAAACTTTTGTGGGAAACTTCAGTATCACAGCACTGAGAGCTTGTGTTCAGACCCAGATATCATGTGACTTGGAAGACATTCTCTTGCTTCTGGGTGGATAGTTGTCTGAATGATGGCAGAAAGCGCGCTCCTCAGGGATGTGGTGCCTTGTAACCTGCCACTATGGGTGAAATGAAGTGAAGTGCTGCCAATATAGGTTAAGCAGTGTTAAGCAGAAAAAAAAGGTTTTAAACATATTCGAGGTACAGCAGTGTGTTGGCGCCCGCCCAGGGTGGCTCCCGGGATAGGCTCTGGGCCCCCCGCGATCCCAGTTGGGATTAAGTGGTTACGATGATCGGTGGATGGAGTTGCAGCAGTTCAGGCTTAGGAGTTTGAATCAACATTTAAATCTTTAACCAGTACGTCACCAACTGGTGATGACTGGAGCTGACTGACCTGCTCGCTGACTGGTGTTAGAGGGAACAGAGTGTAGCCTTCAGTGGCTCTGTGTGCATGTGTGTCAGGGGTACTCAGGCCTCCATATATTGAGGAGGCATTAATTTGTTCTCCTTCTCTCTCTCTCTCTCTGTCTCTCTGCACCCACTTACCCACACTCTATATGTGTCTCTCCCTCTCTCCCTGCCCCTGTCTTTCTCCCACCTTCCCTACCCACCCACAGACATGTCTGCCCTGATCTCCCTCAGGAAGAGAGCACAGGGAGAGAAGCCACTGGCCGGGGCTAAAATCGTGGGCTGCACCCACATCACTGCCCAGACGGCGGTAATGCCTCTGCTCAGCCACCACTCACCTCGGGATGCACATACTACACCCACACAATCGATTGAATTCTGCCCCAATTAATGATTTTGCCCCACGCCTGGGGACTAGCCTGTTATTCTTTCTGACTCTGAATGCTTCTTCCAAGGTCTTGATCGAGACACTGGTAGCTCTGGGAGCTCAGTGCCGCTGGACTGCCTGCAACATCTACTCCACACAGAATGAGGTGGCAGCTGCCCTGTCTGAGGCAGGTAAGAT